CAAATTGCACTCGGACGGCGTCCCGGATTTGCATTCCTTGGCTTCCCTCTGCACCACCGACGTGACGTCCCAGTCGCCCTCAGCTCCACTGCCTCTGACCGCCCTGCACAGCCTAGGAGCGTCCACCTTTCACTGCAAACGCTCCCCCGTTTGCGATGGTGCGGGCAATGTCAGCTCCGCTGACCACATGCACTGCACCAACAAGCCCAGCACACCTCTAGCTACGGTTGCGCAATCCATGCTGGAGTATCTGGGTCAAGAACAACTCCTTAAGCCAATCCTAGCACACCTGCACGCGGGTTTGCCAGAACCGCCCCTCTCGGAACAACATGGTTCCGTGCTCGCAGAAATTATTAGATCACCTCGCTCGGCACATGCCTGCAGCCGAAGCTCTGCGTATTGAACCAGGCCAGCCTTTTCGCCTCGAGGTCCTTGAGATGCTCGCTCGCGCCATTGACGATCCTGACACAGGCCTGGTGTCCACCGCAAAACATTGATACGTCGGCCGACCTTGACCCGCACCGCCTTGAGCACTGCGCGGGCAACTGGACTGCCGCGCTTCAGCAGCTGGTTGACCAAGAAATCTCTGCCGGACACGTTGCGCCTTTCCACGGCTCCGCAGAGGACGCTGCAAAGCATTGGCCGCTCGGCACCGCAATCGGCAAACTCAATATAGTTCACGCAGACGGCAAAGATCCCCGCCTGGTTCTCGATAGTTCCGTCTGTGGGTTAAACCCATCTGTGCACCTCCCGGAGCGTGTCTCCATGCCAAGCGCCCTGGACGTGCAACGCACCTTCTTCGCCTCCGACCCTTTCGCCCGTCTGCAAGGCCTCTCGTTAGACTTCAAAGCTGCACATAAGGCACAAAAAGTCCGCCCCGCAGAGCAAGGCACACTGCTTTTTCGCATTGCAGATAAACTTTATCATTACACAGTCTGCCACTTCGGCGCCCGCTTTTCAGCTTATTGGTGGCAACGCACAGGATCCCTCATCCTGCGCATCCTGCATGCACTTCTTTGCAAATACCCGCACAAAGCATGGCTCTACGTGGACGACATCCTCGCCGCGCTTCTGCGTGATAAGCTCGACCAGCCGGTCGCCCTCATCGTTGCACTGCTTGCCGCACTACACGCACCCATCAGCTGGAAAAAGGCACAGCTCGGCGATCAAATCACTTGGTTCGGCTGGACTTTTTGCTTCCGCACAGAAACCGTGGCCTTGGTCCAGAGCAAGCTGGACAAACTGCGCCAACAGCTCTGCAAGCTTCGCACAGCCTCCAAAATCCTCAAGAAGGATTTGGAAGCGTGTCTGGGACTGCTCAACTGGGCCACCACTCTGAGCCCGCACATGCGCTCCTTCATGTCATGCCTTTATAAAGACTTGCACAGCAGTGCAGGAACCCTCCACAGTATCGCCCCGCAGGCTTGGGCGTCTTTCTACGGTTGCCTTGATAACACCGCCAAGCTTTCTTCCACGCCTCTTGGCTCCTGGCTGCCTCGCAATGCACAGCTCCTTGAGGTTGGATCCATCAAAATACATTCTAAATCTGACGTGCCCCGCGTGCCGCCCTCTCACAAGCACCAGTGGGTCCGTCTTGCAGACCCCAATCGCACAGAAATTCACCTCAAGCAAGACAGTAAGTTTTTCCTCGCCTGGCTAGAGCTCTGTTTTAAGCACGAGCAACCGCGCAGCCTCCGCACTCCTCCCGTTGCGCCCTGCATGAGCGCCGCGGATGCTTTCGCCGACACCGACCGCATGGGCATCGGCGGCTGGCTCAGCACTTCATCGCACTTTGTGTGGTACAGCGAGATCTTTACTGCCGACGAGGTCCGAGCTGAGTGGCCTCAACTGCACGGCTCCATGCAAAGCTACATAGCTTGTTTTGAGGCATTGGCACAGCTTGCGCTCGCCCATTGCTCATGGGCTCTACTTCGGCATAAACACACGCGTTTCGTGCGTCCAAGCGCCAGCGACAACACCTCCGCTGAGAGTGGCGTAAACCGCCTGTTTACGACAGCAGAACCGCTCAGCACCTTTTTGCGCCTTGCCGCCACCTGGGCGCACCTGCACCGTGTCCAGTTCCAGGTCGAACACTTGGCTGGTGAAAAGAACACGTGGGCTGACGCTCTCAGCCGCGGACGCCTGGCCTTCATTAAGCACTGCAGTGCCGAACGCGTTCGCATCCGCCTGGCACAGCTCGCGTCTGCTTCGCACACAGTTTCACTTCGAGGGGGGAGGAGAACACCTTCCCCCCTCGCCTCTGCGAGGCGCAGCGCAGCCTACTGCGTTGACTTGCTCACCGTCGTGAACGAAAAAACTCTGCATCAGAGCTTTTGCCCCTGCACGCCTTGTGCTCTGGCACGTTTCTAGCTTTCTCTCTGTCCGTCCCGGTAGGTCTACTTCTCCATCCTCGTGCGAGGGGGGTTTTCTGAGCCCGTAAGGCAGAGGATGCTGAAGTCGAACTAAAGAGGGGGAAAAGAGCTCGGCAACGCATTGCCCCGCTTCTCCTGTTCCTGGGCATCGCATTGCCTCGCACCGACTTCAAGCATCCTTCGCGAGTAAAAAGAAGAGAGCGCTTCCTCACTTTGTTACTGCATTGCTCTAGCAAACTCACAGTACTCTTACTGAGAACTCAGGCTGAGGAACCCTCGGCCTGTTCGAGGTATTTGCCGATCCGAACTTTCCAGCGCTTGGGGTTGTTCCCTTCAGGTTTTGGCCAGTCCGTCGCCTTGTAGGTTTGGGGCTTCAGCAGTTTGCTCGTTGTTTTGGGTTTAGGTTGAACGTCTTCCGCTCCCTTTGAGGGTTTTGCAGGCATTCTGAGCGATATGAGCAATCACGCTTCAGAGTTTGGGGTCTGTGTGGTTTGCCATGCCACCCTTGGCAACGTTTCCGAGAGTAGTGTTTGTGCGGCTCGCCTGTGCAACGCTCCAGGCTTTGGAGATTTGTGTTGTTTGCCGCCCCGAGCTCTCAGGTGCGAAGAATTCAGGTTTGGCCTGGGGGCATGATTGTGGCTTGTTGTTTTGTGCTTTGAGGGACCGTGGCACTAGTGCCCTCGAGGGAAGAGGGTTATCTTGTTGTGCACGGGTACAATCCCCTTTGACACTTGAACGGGTATTTGGATCATTTATCAGCCGCATAGCCTACGGCCTGGTCTACAATCGGTTACAATATAATCAGTGCATGAGCGCATCGCCAGAACTTATCCCCGAAATGGATGGAAGTGCAACGACCCCGGTACAGCCGTACTTTTCCCAGCCCCGGCCTCAGTCCAGCAGTTCAATGTGTTTACTCCGCAGTACTAGTACAACATGGAAATGCATGTGAACCAAGTGAGGCTAAAGGTCAACTAGAAGCTCACGCCGAACGTAGACATAGACAGCATATGGTGACCTATGAAAAAGCAATCGCGATAGGACTAGCGAACGTAGAAGAGAGGGCTGAGCGAAATCACTGCGAAATCGTGTCGGAACTGCAAGCAATTGCAAGCAGCTTTGGCCACGAGTGAGTTCTGGGCAGCCACGCATGAAAAGACGTTAATCGTTGAGATGTCCCTTGCCCAGGCGCATTCTGTAGATGAAGACAACAGACTGCGTGAAGACCTCGCGGAATTGCAACCAAAAAAATGCTCCCCAAGCACCTTTGCTCACGATGCCAAGTGTACTCCCCCAAGGCGCTAGGAACCTGCTCGAAGTAATGAACCCAGGAGGTATGAGTGCGCACCCAGCTCCCTCAACACCACCTCCAGCAGGAGCAGCTCAGGCGAAAGCATCAGGAGTAGCGGTCTTTCCAGCGGCCGACCCCGAGGCGCCATCAGCTGAAGTCCCCAACACAGGTTTTTTAGAGACCCAGATGGCTATCCTCAATAGCTTGAAGAACCTGCTGAATGACTCAAAGGAGGATTCAGGTAATTAAGCCCAAGGTCAAAGAGGCCAAAACGATCAATCTCCCAGAATTAACCCCGAATCGTACCGGTCTTGGAAGACAGCAACAAGCGAGGCAGTGAGAGCAGCTTTTGATTCGCCAGACGAAGCATTTAAGTGGGTATTGCAAGCCTACGATAAAGATGCAAATCATGAAAGTCTGCGTGATCCAGGCAAGTTTCTTACCCTCGACACCAAGCTCTTCGCAGCTTTGACGAAGGTCGCACGAGGTGAGCCGTCACGTGAAATCTTGATCCAAGGAAACCGAAGTATCCAAGTCCCGGGCCGTGAGGGGAAGACAGTTCTTTATCTCTTTGATCAGTATTTCAAGAGGAACGCAGAGGTGGGATCCTTGTATTCGGTTGAGGATTTGTTGAAGGTAAGTGTAAGTCTCACATTCTCCGGTCTCCGCCAAGACTGCCGTGAGCAACGCAAGGAGGTCTCCGGCGCGGTCCCGAGCGTGACCGAGCAACTGGCCATGCACCACGTTTGTGTGCCGGTGATGCAACCGGCGCCACAACCGCCGGGTGTTAGCACGGCGAGCTGCGGTCGTCTGAAGCATGAGGGCCGACTGCAGCTTCCCCAAGCATTCCCACCAATCATCCTGCATATATTTACTGCCCTGGTAGCGAATCCCTTTCGTCATCATGCAGATCACCTGGTCTTCCTCCTCCAGGAATCGCCTGCTGGCTCTGCGACCTACTGCGACCACCTCTTCCAGAGGGGCTAGATGATGCTAGATGTACGACCGGGCCACTTCGATGCTACTTGTCACGATGAGGACGAACGATTCTATCCCTGTTCTTTCGCTTCCTTTCTCTGGTCAGCAAATCTTTCAGGGATTCAACTAGAAACCTATAGATGTGATGTTCGGAACCTTCACGGCAGAAGCAGGAGAACTATGAGGTGTCTAGAGTTGTGGCAGCAGGTGGAGGTCTACCTTCCGATTGCCCTCCTCTCCTTCGCTGCACAAGGGAAAGCGGTTCAATGTCGGGACCCGGACGGTGCTCTTTATGCACCCGCTGCCGGAGAACAGCCCCACAAGCGATGTGATCGTCGAACAAGAAAGCTCGCTCGTGAATGTGGGGTGCCGCCGGCGGGCCCGGTACATGTGCGGAGCCTGACATCGACACCTTGCTCGAGGATGAGATGGAGGCACAAGCGACCGGCCACGGTGCGAAAGGGTACGAGGAGGAGTGCAACCAGGCTCGGCTGCATGACGAGATGACCATGGGAGAGTACCGGGCGAGGAAAGCCAGGGAATGGGATGATTGGGTGACGTGGGAGGGCGAGCCGGGTCGGGATCGCAAGCGCCGGGTTATACAAGTGGACTTGGCGTCGGGGGTGGGGGGACCACGGGTGGCAAAAGTGCTCCGAGTGCCGGTGCAGGAAGGACTGGCTACCGCACTGACCATGACTGTGAACCTCGAGGAGCCCTATGAGGAGGAGGATGCGGCCACATCGCCACAGCTGGGTCAGGAGGTTAATCCAGTGCTTGGCCCGGAGTTGCCGAATGATGACGTGGGGGACCCGACAGAAGCGAGCACAGTCTTGGTACATCCGCCGGCGGCTGGCTACGAGGGCAACATGGGAGGTGATATCTCGGCTAGCATGACGATGCATCAGCACAATGATGTTTACCGGAGATGGCGAGGCCGAGAAATCACGGACCGTGAAGTGTGTGACCGCCATGGTGCGGGGGTTTTGGACCTGCTGCAGTGCAGAACCAGTGCATTGTCTCGATGGCGGATGACGAGGACACGTTAGCGCTCTTGGCTGGTCACGATGCAGCTACAATGCCGATGCCGGCGGTGGTGGACAATGGTATGGGGTTGGCCACTCAGATGGAGTCCGAGCCAGAAGGGATGCAGAATGAATGAATGACGGCGACGAGTGAGTGAGGGTCTTTCTTTTCTGGGGCCTGCCCAGGCCTTAGTGCTTGCCGACTGCCTGGCAGACATTAAAAAGGAGCTTAAACATAAAATAACACCAAAGCCTCGACCTTGACTCAGGCGGGATTCGGGGTGCAGGTTCCTCGGCTCGGCGGGTTCGGGGGCCGTTGCTGGTGGCTGGTGGTTTTGGGCATGATCTGGTGTCTCGACCGACGCGAAAATCATGTCTGTGGGCTTCGTTTAGGCTAGTTTAGGCGAAGCTGGTGTCCGAAACCAATCATTGCTGCATTTTCAGCCTCAACAAATCTGTCACCGCCGCCCTCGAATTATCCATGCCAGACGAAATTCAACCCATGCCAATACGAATGAGGTCATGGCCGTTTTGACTGCTGTCGTGGATCCTCTCAAGGCGCAATGACCTTTGGAGCAAATTAACCTTCACGCGAGTTTAGGCTGTCTCGCCGTGACGGCTGCCGGATTTGGAAGCGGAGGTTGCTTAGTGTATTTATCCTGGATTTCGGGTCATGAGTATGCACACAATACGAGCAATTGCAAATATGTGCAGAACTCCCTGAAGAAAGAAACCTGTGATTCCCCAAATCCCACCGTTGGACCGTCCAAACGAAGGGTCCCAGCCACAGGAAAACCGGGTGATACCGGATACCGCACTCGACAACCACGCCACGCCACGAAGGCCACAAACCTCTCTGGCTCCAAACCCCGGATGCTGCATCAAAACACATCCCAAATGCGTGTCCGCTCACGGAATCACTGAAATCGGAATCACATTCACAAAGCGACTTTCACATGCAACAGCGAAACAGCAGCATGTTTCCGATAGGGATCGAGTATTCTCATGTCAATAGCAGACATTTGCACATGTCGGTGCGGCATGTCCAACTATACATTACTGAACCCTAGGAGTTCGTCTGTGACCAGGATCGCATATTGCGTCGCCGAGTTTATGCCGGCTGCAAGCCGCCCCAGATTCGTTGCTTCCTCGGTGTGAGCCGAGCACTCAGGGCAGTGTTGAGGTTTGGGTGCTCCATCTGTTTAGGGGGGAATGCTCAAGATTGTAAAGTTTAAGGCCGGGAGGATACCTTCAAGTAAGACAAGCCAGCGACTACTAAGCTCCTAACCACCCGAGTCACAGGGCAATTCAAGCCCTCAGCGTCCTAGATGCCACGAGTGCTGCGACATATGCAAAGGCCTTTGCGTGCAGATGATAAAATTCCCACTCTTCGAGCCGCTGCTGGTCTGGGCGCTGGCAACAAAGCTGGTGCCAATACCTCAGAGTCTGAGTTTGAATCAACCGGCACGATAGAAATTATTAACAATCTTTTTCCCTGCATAAGGCGAGTTGTAGTAGGTTTTGCAGTATGCAAAGGGTTTTGTGACGATGAATTTGTGACCACATTTGTCGGCGCGCTGCGGATGCTCCAGTCCTTTTGCTCTTGATGTTCGCATCCATGGACGATTCAACGATGACATTTGTGGCATTACTGCCTCGCCTCGTTGTTTTAATACTTGACATCGGCACCCTATGGGACGAACTTCCCTTGGCCTAAGTTCGGGCAAGCCTTGTGATGGAGACATCACGCAGGCCGTCAATGTAGTCCGCCCTCCGGGACAGTGGAGCCTGCAAGTCAGTTCCGCTTGAGCAACGTTCAGCGTCCGGAACTCAAGGCCATGAGTCCACCAAATTGGATTCTCTCGTGGATTCCGACAAGGAGGGAATCTCCGACGCGCAGCCCACTGCCTGGAGATCGATAGGATCTTCCTCCTCGTCCTCTTCCTTGCGGTGCGGTGTGGTCCTGCAGTTGTCGCTGTCATGCTGAACTCGGACGGCGTAGGCATAAACATGCGCAGTTTCAAATTTCGTTAGCACTACCAAAAGCCACTTCTTGCACAGCTATCCGAATCTTTCCTTACCCATTGCAACATGACAATGATAGCCCGAGCTCCTCCAGGCCTTTCGCCTCGCCATTGGCACGGGCGGCCCTCGCGGGGGTGGCTTTCGCAGTTGCCACGCTGCCGTTCACAAACTTCCGCATGGCCGCCGGGCGCCTTGAGGGTGCAAGAAAATGAGTCCTGGCGTGTGAAGTCCCCCTCAGCTTTCCATATTTGAAAACGCCGTTCTCAGCTTTGCAAGACGGTTGCGGTCATGGTCGGACAGGACATTTGGGGACCGTGACAGCATCGTAGCTTTCTTTCTAAGACTTGGTGGGCTGGAGTGCAGTGCAAGGGCCGAGCCTGAGGGACGCCGTCAGAAGGTCGAAGACGCCATGAATAACTCATTGACTCATTCGGAGGTAACCATGAGGATGACACATGTGGAGATATCAGCGAGCGAGATCCCGATAAGTGAAGATCAGCAGAAGTATGGATTTTGCTTTCGAACAAACATACCGCAGCACTGGGTCGACGTTTTTACATCCAGGTTTTTGCCGATATCATAGAATTGAAACCACAACCGCAGGCTCCAGGAGGCCGGAGCTTCTACGGCGCTTTTGAGCAGTCCATAACATCCCTGTCGTGTTCGGAATGTATGCGGCACCTCACTCCTCTCACTGCATCAGGCCTCGAACCGATCGTACCGAAGCCGCGGTGGAACGCTGAGGGCCGGCCACGGGAACGAAGCCTTGGATTGGGTTCGGAGTTTCGATTGTTTTTGTTTGCTGATCCGCAGGCTCGCCCTGGTTGCTCTTGTCTCTGGATGCTTGCCCTTCGAATAGCTCCCGACCACAAGCGTTGCCCAGGACATCTGAGCATATCTGGGCATCGAAACTCAAGTTTGGAAAGTCCTAGCTGAAAAATTGCATTGGAGATCAAAGTGTCCAAACCCCTCGACACCCGAACCTCAAGTTCGGCCTCAACCTATGCTCGCAACACTGAGGCCTCAAGACCTTGGCACCTGCAGCGAAACCTGCATTCCCAAAACGAGCAAAACGAGTTTCAGTCGTGGGCATATTCGCTCCAAGCCAGTCCTTCGTGCCCACCGTGGCACGGGATACAGTCTACGCTGTCGCCCGGGTGGCGCTTCCGGCCCCATGCCTGCGAATATGAGGCCGACGTAGGCAGTGAGACAATTGAGGATACCATTTCCCAAATCACCAGAGCCGTGCCTTGGTGACTTGGTTCTTGGCTATTGCAGTTCTGCAGGAGTTCGGATTGGATCTTGCAAAGAGTTTGGAGATGTAGGATCCAGTGCTCATTGTACACCCCTTGCTCACAGAGGCCGTCATCGCGAGTAGGTGTGGCGGCGCGATGGCCCTGACCTTACCAGACCCGACACGTTCAGCTTTGGGAATTCTGGGAATTGGCCCTCGCATCTCGCCCAGACCGCTTAATGAGCCCTAGACCCTTCACCCTAACACGTGTAAGACCAGCACTTCCAAATTGAAGCTCGGTAGTGGGTTGATTGTCTTACGAGTCGAATTCAACATCCTCGATCCTCGAGCGTCAGCCGTTGTATCTTTCTCAAGCCGTGGGAAGCCCGACTCCGACACACAAGCCTCTCTGAATGCTAGACCCTCGAGCGCTTGAACTCTGACCGCGATCTTTGATGCCTTTCCCCGAGGCTTTACCCGATCAGTGCAAATGCCAGGTGCTGTTCTGGACAGTTTTCACAGCTTGCCTTCTCGTAGCTTGGCGTTTACACTTATGGATTAAAGCCGTTGGGCCAGCATGGAATGAGCTCTCGAGGTTCCTGCTCTGAGGGTCGGTTGGGTTTTGTGGTTGCAGGCAGTTCAACTGGGCTTGCAGGACTTCGGCTTGACAGGACTTTCTTCGTCGTCGCAGCCAGTCGGTGTCGGTGGGGGACATGCTTCTCATCCAGCTTTGTGTTTGGAAAGCCAACCCCGAAACCATGCGGCTTCGTGCCGCAACTTTAACTGCCACAGGCACAACCCCATGCTGCATCGGGTGAGCTGTGTGGCATGAGAACCTGTGTTGCTCACCACGCGACTCAAGAGTCCAACGAAAATGGCGTCGTTGTCGTCGTCACCACCACCACCAGCACCACCAGCACCACCAGCATCACCACCAGCACCACCACCAGCACCACCACCAGCACCACCAGCACCACCAGCACCACCACTAGCACCACCAGCACCACCACTAGCACCACTAGCACCACCAGCACCACCAGCACCACCACCAGCACCACCACCAGCAATAGCACCACCACCAGCACCACCAGCACCACCAACCACCACCACCACCACCACCACCACCACCACCACCACCACCACCACCACCACCACCACCAGCACCAATAGCACCACCACCAGCACCACCAGCACCACCACCCCCGCCGCCGCCGCCGCCACCACCACCACCACCACCACCCCCGCCGCCGCCGCCGCCACCGCCACCACCGCCGCCACCACCACCACCACCACCACCACCACCACCAGCACCACCAACACCACCACCACCACCACCACCACCACCACCACCACCACCACCACCACCACCACCACCACCACCACGAGCCCCAGCCCCAGGTGCTATAGTGCTCTAACTCTAGTGCTATATAGTCTATAGTGCTATATAGTGCGCTAGTGCTATATTGCTGTGCCAGTTCTGTTGCCAGTACTGTGTGCTGGTGCTGGTAGTAGTAGTATTTAGTCGTAGTAGTGGCAGTAGTGTTAGTAGTGGTAGTACTGGTCTTAGTGGTAGTAGTGGTACTGTAAATAGAGGAAATCTTGCACCGCGTTCAATATATGTTATGTCGCCTCACCCCGCGACCCTTCTCAACATTGCTCAGAACACGGGGTTATGCCAAATCGTTCCGATCATATTATTAATGTTGCGCAGCCCCGGGAGATCTGTCGTCAATGTTAAACAGGGGGTATGGGGTTATTGCTTGGATGTGCACCCGAAACGGTGTATGTAGGTGGTGCAAGATTTCCACCATCCACCGTGGTAGTGGTGGTAGTGGTAGTAGTGGTGGTATTGGTGCTAGTGGTGCTGGTGGTGCTAGT